AAGGGGAGAGAGAAGGGGAGAGAGAAGGGGAGAGAGAAGGGGAGAGATAAGGGGAGAGAGAAGGGGAGAGATAAGGGGAGAGATAAGGGGAGAGAGAAGGGGAGAGAGAAGGGGAGAGAGAAGGGGAGAGAGAAGGGGAGAGAGAAGGGGAGAGAGAAGGGGAGAGAGAAGGGGAGAGAGAAGGGGAGGAGGGAGAGAAGGGGGAGAGGGGGAAAGAGGAGGGGAGAGAGGGACGGCAAGAAATCGGTGTTATGTCTTAAAATTCACCTCTCACTATCCCACGGCTTTCCGCCGCCATGTGTCGATCGATCTGTGAGAGCTTGTCGACAAGTTGTATAAAGTTATATTGCTTCTTCAACTTCAGCGTGTATCGTTGGGCCCATCAAAATGTCATAAGTTTAAACGGTGCAACAGTTCAGCTCAGCGTGGTCGCGGCTTGACCCACACAGTCTCAGTCTCTCTCCCCCCACCCCTCCCTTTCTCCCTCTCTTTCACAGGCAGGATCCAAATGCAGCGCCGGAGCGGGCGGGTTCGCCTACACACTAACTGGAAAAGTCGGAAAAGTACTTTATCGTACATGTCATATGTAGTGATTTGTTGGTACGCGTAGGGATTCATGCACGTAATCAGAAATAAATGTGTATAATTTTATGCATAATTAAACGAAAAAATATACCTTTTCAGTTGATGCACAAAATTTAACATATTTCTGTATGAATAAAGTACATAACTAAGCACATTTTTGTACATAAATCAGTACGCACGAATCACTCCATATACGACATGTACAAAAAAGTACATCCCCATTAGTTTGTACAGGACCCTCTGCCCGTACAGCGCCTATGGCCCCTGCGAGTAGGCAAATCCACCTGCACCGGCGCGTGCGTGCAAACAGCCGGTGCAAACTGAAAGTTAAAGATAAGCCCACCAGCGCTATCTCTGGCTATCGGTCCGTATCGCTGATCCGTGCCAAACGGGGACCACCTCACTCAGTCAACGGGTAACTAGCAGCGCCGCACCAGCATGGACTGCAGCATATGTTTCGAGGAGTACAACCACGGGGAGCGCAGCCCTAAGATGGTGCCGTGCGGACACACCGTGTGCCTGCAGTGCCTGTTGCGGAGCGACAAAAAAGAATGCCCCATGTGCCGCACGGTAAGTCCGATGCAACGGAGATGGCGCTGCCGCACAAGAGTAACGTTCCCCTTTAAGAACAGGACCTGTGTGCAAATGAGCCAAAAAGACTTCCTCTCTTTTGTTCATGTAAAGGTCTTCACTGCGCTGCCCGCATCTCTCCCAAAAAACTTTGACCTGCTGCGACTAATTGGTGAACAAGGCACCGCAAGGTGAGCGCTTCCTCTGCAGCTCCGTTTGGACCGCACGGCGCGCACCATCTTGCAAGTTGCGCCTTGATCCCTCTGTTTGTGTCCCACGGCAGAGGCCTCCGCGGCTGGTGCTCGGACTGCCGCCAAGCCGCGTCGCACCGGTGCTGGAACGACGAGCACGATGTCCTGCCCGTCAAGAGAGCCCTGACGCGTCAGCTGCAGGGAGTGCTGCCGCAGGCGGCTGGGCAGATTGAAGGCCTGCAGGACCAATGCCAGTGGGAGCAAGCCCTGCAGGCTCTCACCCTGATGGCGACCGAGTCGTGGAATCTAACCCTGCAGGGTGGGGACAAAGTGTTGACGGGGACCCTGACTCTGATGAACAAGGATGATCCCCTCATGAAGGCCCTGTGGGTAGCGTTGGCGGTCAGGGCATCGCTCACTGAGGTAGGCGACTGGAGGCTGGACAGGTAGGCCTACTTTCAGCTGCCCGTTTGCACCATTGCGCGCCACTCACAACAAAACCCGGACTTGCAGGTGCAACCCACGGCACCTCCAGCTGAGAGTGCTTCTTTGGCAACCCGGAAGCCGCCTGCAGCTGCGCGTCCACCACCGAAAGCCGAAGAGCGACCCTCTGCACAAAGGGTCGCACCAGGGGGTCCTGCACCTCCGCCTTCAGCTCGGATCACACCAACTGCATCACGAGAATGTCCAGCAACCGGTTGGCGTAAGGAGGAGCGGAACCTTCTGCGTGTGCTGGATGTGAGGGACGTCAGCCAAAGTGGGCCCAACGACATGAAGCAGGAGAAGGCGGCCGCACTGCTAAGCGCAACAGGGGTGAGTCTGGGGAGGCGTCTAACTGTAAGTGTACTTCAAAACAATCACCTAGTCTTTCATTGTGGGACAAACGTTGATAAAACATAGCTTGCAAAGTAAACACAATCGGGTTTGTTTTTCCAACCTGCACAGTATGCGCGACTACAACGAAAATTGAGTAGTAACCATGGCCTTTGCTTGGCTTCAGGTGGAACGTCTCGTCGACGTGTGCTGCCACATGGACCCCGAGTGGAGCCTGGCTCTGCTGTGCTGCGCCGCGCCCACGGTGGTGGAGCTGAAGGTGTCCCGACCCCAGAGGATCCACCTGGAGGCGGTGCACGCCATGCCGCGGCTGCGGGGGCTGCACCTCACGTGCGACGGCTCCGTGGGCACGCCCGAGCTACCCGCGCTCCCGCCGGGGCACGGCGGCCTGCAGCGCCTCCGCGTCTCGGACCTGCCGCGCCCCACGCTGCGCTCCCTGCTGCGCGCGCACGCCCAGTCGCTGCGAGTGCTGGAGCTGGCCGTCGGCACGGCGGCGGAGCAGGACGCGTGGCCGGAGAGCTGCGCCGACCTGCACGCGCTGCTGGCGGAGTGCGGGCTGCGCGCGCTGCAGAGGCTCGTGCTGCAGAGGGTGAGGTGCAGCCACAAGCCGGCCGCCTGCAGCCGCCAGCGCGCCGAGGTGCGGTGCGTGCTGCCCGCGGCCGAGGTGCTGTGCGGCCGGTGCGACCGCGTGGTGTGGGAGAGCTTGTAGCAGAGGCCGACAATAAAGAGCTGCCCCCCGTTTAAACTCAGCACCGCATTTCGTTTGTGGCTCCAGTTCTTTACAATGGACAGGCAGCCGGAACGACCCTCAAAGACCGGAAAGTTGATTTACTTAGCTCTAACGTACCTAGCTGAAACGACGGTGTAAAAGGCAAACTTAACAGTGCACTTGGTACAGGCAAGATATGGCACAGCAAGTACACGCTTTAGTAAGAACACCAGGTAGTGTGTTGGCAGTGTCTAATACTCGCACGGATTAGTAATGTACGTCTCGACGAGGCTCTCCACGGCGAATCCACGACGGCGTGACGAGGCCGTTGGGTCCACCCGACACACCCGTGGTAGAGCAGAGCGTTGCCAAGGCGGGATGGGGGGGGGGGCACTTTGGCTCTTCCCCCGCCGCGCCGCCCAGCGCCGACAGGTCCATAGCTCGGGACCTGGTCGCAATCCAGCGGCGCGGCCGCAGAGGGGACTCGGCGTCCGGACGCCAAACACAGCCGGGTCGGGCGTCGCCCCCGCCCCGCCCCGCCCCGCGTCGCGCCGAGGCGGAGCGTCTCCCCGGCGACCTCGCCAAGTGCTGCGATTAATTCTGTGTCGGCGGCACCGTAAAAGTGAGGAGGTTAGTGGTGTTTTCGTGCCGTCCCTCTCCTCCGTGCCAAGCGCCCGCCGCCGCACCCTCAAGCCGCCACACCCCGCCACGCCCCGCGACGACGCCCCTCCTGCGGTGGACGGCGCGCTGACGGCTGCCAGGCCAGGAAGAGGGGTGCACACACACAGGGTGGCCAGAGCCGCTGCCGGGGTAGACCAGGGACCAGCGGGTTATTATTTCTTCGCACTGCTGCAGGCACAAAACCTAAAGAGCTTAAGTGTGGAAAATTGCGGTTGGGAAGGGCCCGTCTCCAGCTTCCGTCTTCCGAGGGGTGGACCATACTTGGATATTCCACATACACACTGAAACGTTTTCCAAAAATATTCCGAATGTTCCTAAAGCTGAAGTATTCCAAAAAATGTTCCAAAAGTATTCCACAAATATTCCAAATATTCCATACAGAAAATCTGAGTGGTCGACCCCTCGCCGCCTCCCCTTTCGTTTTTTCCCGGCAGGGTTCACAATACGTGACGAGCAGTGGGTGGGCCCGCGAGCCTCCGGGACGCACTCGCGGAGAGGAGCAGCGGCGCCACACGCGGCGCAATCTAATGGCGCGTTTACGAGATAAAACCGACACGCATGCCGGGGAGGGGGTAAGCTTTACAGTACAGCACACGGGGCAGAGGCACAACGACAGCCACTCGTACTTACACTACAACTGTATTTGTATGTTTCTGTGCGAAAACGTTCGTGCTAATTTTCGTTTTCAACAAATTTGAGCGCAAAACCGCATGATTTCGTACAAATGAAGTCACGAAAGTGTGCAAATAAACGCTGAAAATGTCTGCAAAATATAGATTGCTTAACTTCGAAAAACAAAGAGATATACCAATCCTGTAAGTTTGTGGCTGTACTAACAGGTTGTTCTTAGGTGAAAAGGACGCTCAGTGCAGGTGCTGCAGACTGAACAGTGTCAGCAGGAGCAGCTCGAAGGCCCAGGCCTCTGTGCGCCGGCCGGTGCAGAGCGACACACAGGCCACCGCGCTTCTCCTGGCGCACGCTAATTTGAGGCCTGCAGTCGACCATAGCACACACGCGTGCGATTGTGCCATCAAACGGGGAGGTGGCTGCAAGTACAGGGGGCCGAGTGGAGGGGCGGGGCGGGAGAGCTATTGAATATGTGTATCGAGCACACTGTTTGCAGTCCTGGGCGCGGGGGCGGCACCCGGGCCTGGGGCGGGCCGCGGACCGTCCGGAGACACACACAGGGGAGTACGTTTCGATGTAGACGTTGAAGAGGATGCATGGTGTACAGTACCGCGCGGTGCGGTGGTACAGGATGGGTCGGTCCACCATCATGATTTGCGAGTGTGCACAGAGGGGGGCGGGGGGTATGGGGGTAGAGGGGATGGGTGGTATCAAGGCTAGATCATCTGCAACAACCGCGCTGCTGAAGGGGGGTAGAAAGGGGGGAGGGAAGGGAGGGAGGGGCTGTCGGAGGGGTGCGGCGAGTTCCATCCCCCCGACCCCCTCCTTACAGCGAGCCGTCTGTCGTCGTGTTGTGTCCGCACAAAAGAGACCCTTCTCCACAAAAGCCGGGCGTCGTGTTTTGATGTTTACCACGATTGTCCGACAGAGCGCGTCAGCAGAGCGCGTCAGGCTTACGCCGCCGCCGCCGCGCGGCCCCCGGCAACCCCCGGCGGCGCCCCCGTGGGGCCTCCGCAGCAGCCACAATTAGAAGCGGTCCGCGGCTCGCTGCTGACCCTCAGCGGGCCCCGAGGGGGGGGCGCTGGTCCGCGCGGCGCCCCCGCGGCGCCCCCACGGCGTCCACACGGCGCCGGCACGTCTTTGTCCGTCACTTTTCTTTGCCCCTTCCACCCTATTCACCGAAGACCAGAGGAGATTGCCCGGCAGGCGGGCACGGCCCTGGGCGCGCGCGCGGCCGAACCCCCTCTTACCCCTGCTGCTGCTGCTGCGCCTCGTTCTCCATTTCCTACCCCCCGGCAGGCCCGCCCCCGCCCGCCCCTGTTGAGCCCATCTCCGCGCCTGTCTCCTACTGTCGCATATCGCCATTTCACAAACGGGGACGGAAAGGCGCGCAGGAGAGAGGCGGCGTGTGCAAGCCCATCACCACCCCTGTTGTGTGCGAGGGGGGCGCGCTGCCGGCGGGGTACACCGGATGTGACGTGCCGCTCGACACGGCGGCGTCACGTGCGCGCGCGTACCGCGAGCAAGGCGCGCTGACGAAGAGAGAGAGAGAGAGAGAGAGAGAGAGAGACTGAGAAGTAAAAGAAGGTGGGAGAGAAAGAATAAAGACGCAAAAGGATTGAGGGGGATGATGGGGAGGCCGGGAGATGAGGTGGCGCGGGAGTGGCGGGCGGGGGTTTTGTTTGGCGGCCGTCGGATCCTCCTGATTGGGGTGGACGGCCCGTCACAGATACCGCCGCGGCCCCCGCGCCGCCCCCCGCGAGGCGTACGTGTTTGCCCTGGGAGGTAGTCCCGGCCGCACCGCACCGCGGTACACAGCGGCCCCCGCGCCCTCCGAGGCCCCCCCTGCGCGCCCAAAACCAACCCCAAACCGGCTGCGGTCGACCTCGAGCCCGAAGCCGCGGGGCCAGCCGCCGCCGTCGTCCGCACGCGCGCAGCCGGGGGTCGGGGTTTTGTTAAGCCGGAAGTTTCGCTTCGTGTTCCTTTTCTCCCTGTTTTTGTTTTATTTCGGATGCATATAGGGAGGACGGAGGGGCGGGATTTAGATGAGGCATCGCTGACAGAAAGCCCTTTTACAGTAGAGGGGAAAGATATCGGAAAGTGGAGCACGGATTAAGGCAGCGTGGGTCTCTATCAGTCGGTCGACAATCGATATTTTTTAACGTACACTTTCTCAGACCTACTTAACAAAGTATTTGGTTGTTACACTAATACCTAATGAAAAATTTGTCGTGGTTCTACGACACTTTTGGCATGTAAGTTTGTTACAACAAAAACCGTTATTTTTCAATTGCAAAGTAGTATTCGTGACAGATTGTCACCGTGGAGAAATAACTGCAGAATAAAAATGGCACCAATTTAGCACCACCCCCCCCCCCAAAAAAAAAAAAAAAACAACAAAAAACAACCCTGCATGCTATTCGTATAATGTGCGCGTACCCGTCAGGGGCCAGGGGCATCCGTGTCGCAAACGCCAAGCCAACAGGAGGCGATAAAGCTGCCCGCGCTGCTGCTGGGCACCGCGAGCTCCGCCGTCAGCGTGCCGCGGCTGCTCAAGGTCCTACAGTAGGTTGTGTCACTTTGGGTATCGTGCTCTGATTGGTTGGCGGATCGTGACGTCACCGTCAGTACTCTCGCGCCGTAGTTCAAATAGCTGATCGAGTGTTCACACAATTTTACTCACAATATTTATTTTAAGGAAAAATAATGTTGAGAATATCATTATTTTGTCCCCTACCGAGATATTGCACCACGTTTGGACTTGGATGGTCGTTCAGTAGCTAGATATGAAACGGATGACATCTGTCAGAACCTGCCGGAAGCCGGTGCGAGAAGGGCGGCCATATTGGATGAGAGGTTAGGTTGACTCTTATCCGTTACATATCAGTTCGCAAACAAACGATCCGGTTGAAATTCATCATTCAAAGTACACCCACACCTTGTTTATGCCACACCGATAGTATATTTTTATAGTCCGTTCGGTTAATTACTGTTAAAATAAAATTGAGTTGACAGCTATTTTCAAATTTGGCGCGAGCGAACTGACGCTGACGTCACGATCAGTCAACCAATGAGAGCACGATACCCCAAGTGACACAACCTACTGTAGGACCTTGGCGGCTGCTAAACCGGGGTCAGCACCCCACCGTGCGTCAAGTGAAGCGCGGCGCCGAGGAAGGGGTGTGTGTGGCGGGCAGGGGCACAGCGAAGGTGGGCAAGCAGTCCTCCCTCACTCACAGTCAAAGCAAACGGAAGGCTGAGTAGGTGGTGATAGAGGACTTGAGAGGGCAGTTTTCGTTTCACAATCAACAAAATGGCCTGACGCATGTGCTTCAAAAGAGACACGTTTACCAGCAAGGCGCGGGTCCTGTGGAGCGAGTCGCGTGGCAGCGGTAGAGCCGGTCGCCAAGTAAGACAGAGAGAGAGCGCGGCGCGGCATGACGTATGTGTAGTGCGTAGTTGATCTGCGCAGACACACAATCCGCACGAGAAGGGTTCATTCGCCCCGCCTTAACTCCTCCACATTTCCCCGCCTAATGCAAAGAGCGGGGCCGTTTGTTGTGTTGCGCAGACGTACGTGTGTGTGTGTGTCAATGTGTGTGTGTGAGTGTGTGCGAGGGCGTGCACGTGCGTGCGCGAGCGTACCATGAGTAAGTTAATTGTGTGCGGCTCAAGTCACTCTGCGTCGAGCTATGCCGCCGAGCCAGCCACTCACTGCGCCCCGCACACGAG